CAACAAAGCGGACCAAAGCAACCGCGGCACAACAATCCTCATACCAACTACTTCCAAAATCTGGTATGTGGGTCTGGTAAATAATGGCGAGGAGACACAGCAGATGGAAGATGGTCATGGATCCAAATTACATGGCAAGGGGAGGAGATCAGAATCCTAAACCTATACGCCCCCAACACGGAAGCCGAACGCCTAGCTTTCTTCGACCACATCAAATCACTTTTCCCGACCCCGCTGCCGCTAATTATAGCAGGTGACTGGAACACTACGATGGACCCCAGCCTGGATCGCATTTCCCAGGCAGTGTTGTTGGGGCCCACACGAGCGAGCACACACATACGGAGCATCATGACAGAGTTCGACCTGGTCGACCCATTTCGAATCCTCCACCCACGCAAGAAAGCCTTCTCCCTAGTCAAGAGGAACCGATCTAACCACACATCACTATCACGAATCGATTTCTTCCTAATTTCAGACATGCTACAGGGAGCAATCAAGGAGGCCGGTATCCTACCAGCAATCAAGGGGCTCGACCACAAACCAACCTACTTGCTCCTTAACTTCAACTCTCCGGTAGAATACAGGACAAGGCTTCTTTAGACTCAACAACTCACTCCTCTCCACTGACACATGACCGAGGCAGTCAGATGGAACTGGTGGTTCATACAGCAAGACGAGAAGAAAGGCCAGGACAGGCACAAATGGTTCATAGACAACTATACGGACATGTCTCAGACGATCTCAGCAGAGTCTAGAAGCATAGCAGCAGAACGCAAAGACAGGAAGGAGGAAATACAAATCGTACTCGACATCGGAGAAACCAACCTAGCATCAGATCCCTCCAGCTCCTTCTACCACGACCTACTCCAGTCTACGAAGGACGAACTAAACAAATGGCGAAGATGGGAACTCAGAGGCCTACAGATACGCGCCCGAATGAATGACTACGCCATGAATGAATCCATGTCCAAATTCTTTTTCTCCAAGATCAAGGCCAACGCAAGGAACAACACAATCAAGGGGCTGAAGGACCCAACAGACCAGGGGACGACAAAGTCAGCCGGCGCAGACATGGTAAGAATAGCCAGGTCCTTTTACGCCGACCTCTACGAGTCCAAAACCCCTCCCTCCCCCCAACAACAAATATCAACGCCCGCCAGCACATGATGACCTACCTAGAGAGAACGATTACTGAAGAACAATCGGAGGACTTGGACAAACCAATCACCATAGGGGAACTTCACGCAGCCCTATCCCAGATAGGAAACGGCAAAGCACCAGGAATTGATGGCCTGCCCAAAGAATTCTGGATCCAGTTCTGGCCAACACTGGGCAACGACCTCTTGAACTTCATCAACGACAGCAGGGAAAAGAAAGGCCTGGGTCAATTTCTAAGCACCAGCGTAGTAGCAGGGAAAAGAGAGGCCTTGGTCAATTTCTAAGCACCAACGTCGTGTCACTAATATACAGAAAGGGAGACAAGGAGGACCTCAAGAACTACATACCAATCTCAGTTCTCACAACGACGTACAAAATCCTAGCAAAAGCATGGCTCTAAACGAGGCGGTAAAGAAGATCACGGAAAAACGAATGCAAGCGGCGATCTTATTCTTCGACTTTGAAAAGGCATACGATCAAGTCAATTGGGACTTCCTCCACAGTTGCATGGAGAAGATGGGAGTCGGGCCAAACTTCAGAGAATGGGTGAGAGTACTGTATGGGGATGCCACAGACAGGGTGCAGATAAACAGAATATTGTCAGAAACCTACCCGATATCGAGATCCGCCCGACAAGGCACCCCCAATATTCCCGTTCATAATGGAAGCCATAGCATCTTTCCTGCACAAGGACCCATCTATAGACCACCTCACCGAACAAAACTACAACCCCCTCCACGACTTTGCTCTCCCCACTGCGCAGATGTTCGCAGACGATCTCACGGTCCTCATCCGCGCTAACAACTCCTCCTTCCAGGCCCTGGCCCGCGCCATAGAAGCCTTCAGATTCGCCTCAGAAATGAAGGTGAACTGGCTGAAAACGGAACGGTGGTGGCTCGCAAAGGCAACCCCCTCCAACCCCCAGACCATCCACCCCAATGTCTTGGACTACAGGCGATCAAGCACTTCGATATCTAGGCATCATGGTAAACAGGGACGACATCTGGCAAGGGATGGGGGAGTCACTACTCGCCAGAGCAATAATCCGTTTAGCCACCTGCAACAAAGCCCAGGCCTCCCTACTAGGGAGAGCCCTGATTATCAACACAACAATATTCTCCACCTTGTGGTACATGGCCTCGATATGGTGCCCCCCCGACGACGACCTGAAGAAGCTAAAGGCGAGAGCCAGGTGCTATCTGTGGACTGGCGACCCCAACAGAACCACCTGCATAAACAAGGTGACCTGGCAAACTGTCATCAGGAAACCACAAGGAGGGCTAGGTATAATCGACCTTAAACAGGAAACGATCGCCCTCCAAATCAAATGGATAATCAAAATCCTAACCAAACAAGCCCTCCCGTGGACCTCGATGGTGATAGACAGCATAAGGAATTTGGCACCAGCAGCGACGCCACCGAACATGAGGGGCCTATTCTGGATCATGGCAAAGGAGTGGACAATCAAATCGGGGAGACCCGCAAGGAAAACTAACCCAGTGACCCCCATTCAACCCCCCACTACACCCACCCCATACTGGTCTCCGATCCTGAAGACCTGGCGCCGTCTGATGCCAGAAAAGAATGCCCCCCTGAGCAACAAAGAGGAAGTCCTACGACAACCCCTGTTCTGCAATCCCTGGATCAAAGATACAGAGGGCAGACCGTGGACTCTCCGGACCAAAGACCGCAGATGGCTGTCATGGGTGGAGAGAGGAGTATGGCAGGTCAAACATCTGTGGTCCGAAGACCGACAAGAATGGCTCACCGCACAGGACCTCTGCACTCCCTTAAAAGGCTGCCATCTATTGACCACCAACCTGTTCGAAATCCTCCAAAGCATTCCCCCCCCATGGACGACCCTCCTAAAAGAGACACATACGTGGAAACCAGGAGACTGGGGACTGCTCATCACACAGACCCCACCAACGAAAGCCTACCGTTTTGTGTCAAAACCAGACTTAATCAACTACCTGGCCAAGTCCTTATCCTACCCCATCGTCAAACACGGCCTATATGAACTAGAGATCCTAAACAAAACACCACAGAACGAACAAATAGAAACCTACCTTCTCAGGAAGGTTAGAGTCTCTCACAAGACACCCTGGCTTATATTCCAGCCGGAACTCAGCATCAACGAATTGGAATTCGACCCAAAGGAATGGATCTGGGATCTGGGCGCCGCCAGTAAATCGAGAAGGATAACAGAATATGACGTAAAGTTCTGGTATAACCTCGGACTACAAACCAGGGACCCGAATTCAAGGCTGGCAGAGAAATGGAGAACCATACTGAACCTAGATACGACGACCCCCATCACCATCACATGGACCAAATACCTTCTCATCAGACCAAGTAGAATCCGAAGTATGCAATGGCTAATAGCACATGCAGCCCTGCCAGTCAACCAATGGTTACACGAGAGAAGGAAACATTCTGATCCTGATAGCTCGGCATGCTGCTCAATGTGCAGCAACGACTCACCCGACGACATCCCCCACTGCCTCCTCTTCTGCCCTGAAGCAATCTGGATATGGAAGAAGATCCGCGAGCTATGGTCGATCCTGTTCGTTGCCCCCCCCCCCAAACA